ATTTAGGGAAAGGAAAGCAAGTCGGGAAATAAGGCGTGGAACGTTGATGGTCGGGACGTGACAGCGTTCGGGAGATAGGTCGTCGGGATAGGTATAATGTAGGAAACACTTAAGTGGTGCGGGACATGACAGCGTTGGGGGTGTAGAAAGGTAAGGAAGTAGCGCTTCAGGACGTTGGGCGTCTGGACGTTGACAACGCTCGAGGAATAGGAGGTATTGTAGGACAGACGTCGGTTAAGAAGGGCGTCGATTTAGGAAAGGTACTAGATACTGAATATAAAATAATCTGAATTCTATATAAAATCATAATGAATGCTCCTCGAGTTCCTTAGGTTCGGGTCTGTACAGTGGCGGCTCATGGGCACTAGTGACAGTGGACCACACACTGGAAAGGAATCCCGGGATTCGTTATTCTCTTAGGAAAACAAGTTCTTCGCTCAATGGAAAGTAAATATATTTCAAAACAATCAGTTGGGGCGATAACGATTTCTAAATGTGACTACAGGGAGCTAAATGTGATCACTCAAAATACATTTAACTATGTGGCTATTTAATCAAAAAATCATTACATATCCACTCTTGCGAAATTTGCGTAAATTTCTCAGAAGAATGCAATTTACTTAACAATTCCAACTTGTTAACGCATTTTAAAGCATACGACTCTAAAGAAAAGGTGTTTGGCAATTTAAAATCTCCCAGCGAAAAATTTATCTTTTATATTTTCAAATTAGAAAAAATATTTATATCTCTATTTGATAGTTTGTCAACTAAGCCTGGAATTTCCAATGCATACCTTTTTGAGATGAGCAAAATAGAATCCTTGCCAACAAATTGCGAAAATGTACACCATTAAATTATTTATAAAACTCTGAATTTTTTGTACTCTTAAATATGCAAACAGAGATTTGAAATCCTCAAAAAAGTCAGACAAAACCAAGAGAAAAATTTAAATTTTGTTCCATTTATAATTATTATTGATTTTTTTTTTCATTATATTTTTGACTGCTTTTAAAAAAAAAGTTATTTTTCTTTATAGTTTTATTTCTTAACTATTCCAATAATCCAACTAACGTTTTTTCGTAATCACAATAAATAAATTATTCTCATGGTCCAACAAACGCGTACCGTAAGCCGAAACCGGCATCGCCTTTGTGAGGGAGCAGATAAAGATGCCGCTGCGTACATTCGTATCTGGTCTAGATAATCTGTGCCATGGGTACAGCACGTCACAATGAGGACAGCGCCCCGCTTGTGACCTATAATCCATCGCATGTGTTCATCTCTTGCTAAGCGATATTGTCGTTGTCCTTGTTTTTCGCATTATAATGAGAGAGAAAACAACAGGGGCACACATTTACTGTGCCCTTCCACTTAATTTCGGAATTCTCGGAACGTCGCTCAACGCCCGGTCGTCCAATGTCATGCCAACGCGGTTTGCGCTCAATATTAGATAAAATAATAATAGGCATTGAGGAAAATATAAAATATGTTTTTTTTTGGCTTATTATACTAGGGCACGTACCCAAGTGCCCTTACGTGCAAACCGCCACTGGGTCTGTATACCCGTTTTAATGGCTTTTTATGACGTCAGTTTGTCGTAGCTCTGGTGAGAACGAATTTGGATGTATAAAAAGGGTTGGTAAATTTATTATGCGCCTTGAGAACTTCTCGGAATTTTGTTTCGAAATATTGTAGAAAATCATCTTTATCTTCGAAACTAGAAAGATAAGCGGGTTAAGTATTTTAATGAATATTACTTCATGAAAATAAATATTTTTATGGAGGCTTTTGGGTAGAATTCTCATGGAATAACTTTTTATATTTTCTGTAATATTAGAGACACCGCGAACAGAAATATTGCTTTTATTTATCAAGCATCATACATAGGATTTAATTACTTAAAAGATTTTTCGTAAAATGCAGAAATTTGAATTTAATAAGTATTCAACTTTTCTTTATTGAAATGGAATTAATAAATTATGAAGGTACCTGGGTGAGGTAGGTTACAGTGATTTCTTTATTTGATTTAAATAATATTTATTAAATATTACTAGAAACTTAAACTTGCCAAATAAACAAAATGTATTTTGAAGGTATACAGGGTTGGCCAAACCTCTGTCGTAGTTCTATAACTCCTATTATGCAAATCTTAACGATTTATTCGAAGTATACCTATCAATGGTAGTCAAAACCAAATATCCCAAAATTATTTTCTTGTGTACAGGGTAGCCCAATAGTAAATTAGGCAAATCACTTATTTTTTTTAAATGGAATGACCCAACTTTTTTTCCAATTTTAGGTACTCTATGGTCACTAGTGCATACCCACAAAATATTGTTTCTAACATCCTAACCCTTTCGCAGAAAAAGAAGAAATACCAAAAAATATTACATTTTCAGACGCCTATTAAAATATGCAGTGCTCTCTCGAATTTGACGTTAGAATTTAAAAAACTACAAATGTATAAAGCCAATAGACCAAAGATTTTTTTAGACCAAGTTTTAATTTTCTATTTTGTACAGGGTGGTCACAAATTAATTTCAATTTCCAAAAATTTCTAGGACATTTTTTTCAAATTTTTCAAATAGAACACCCTGTATTACTATTCATCGATGAAACGAGAATTTTATACCCTTCGACTTCCCCATGTACTTTCCTATACCTATCTGTCGTCGTTTAAAAGTAAATTCCAAAAAGACATTGATCTATCAAAAATCCAATTTCTACCAGTGGTTTTATTGAAAGTGAACATTCAATCAAGTAGGCTGGGTCTTAATGAAGTGTCAAGTTATTTTTACTGATCGCGATAATTCTTCTATTAATAATGAATTTTACGAAAAACGAATTAATTGACATGGTCTATGTTTTGGGAGAATCCGACAGAAATTGTTTATTGGCAAAAAGAATTTATCATCAACGATATCCCGATAGACGCATCTCTGATCAAAAAAGTTTGGAAAGTTACATGAAAGATTTACCGAAACAGGAAATGTTGCTTATAAAAAACCAATAATTGACAAACGTGCTACTGAGAATGATAACCAATTATCTGTAATTTTGACAGCGATAGAAGATCCTCATGTAAGTCAAAAAAAGATTGCCGAAGTAGTAGGTATAAGTAGAACATCCGTTAGAAGGATTTTAAAACAGCATCAATGTCATCCTTATAAAATACAATTGCATCAAGAGCTGAAAGACACCGATTTTGATAATAGAATGGTGTTTTGTAACTGGGCACAAACTAAACTGCAAAAAAATCGATTTTTTTTTTATAGAGTGCTGTTTTCTGATGAATCTACATTCGACAAGAACAAATTCGTTAATAGACATAATTTCCACTATTATTCCACGGAAAATCCTAACATCATCAGAACACATAGCCAAGAAAGATGGAGTGTAAATGTTTGGGGAGGTATAATTGGGGATCATGTTATTGGGCCGTATTTTTTTGAAGGCAACTTAAATGGTCTGATGTATTTAGATTTTTTAGCAAATCATCTTCCTACTTTACTTGAAAACATTTCCCTTGCTGTAAGACTAACAATGTGGTACCAACATGATGGGGCAGCAGCGCATTTTTTACGCGAAGTGGCAGATGAATTAGATGAAAAGTTTCCAAATAGATGGATTGGTAGAAATGGTCCAAAAAAATGGCTAGCTCGATCACCTGACTTAACAAAACCCGATTATTTTTTGTGGGGTTATATTAAAAATCTAGTCTATCTTACGTCACCTACAACACCTGAAAATATGAAAGAAAGGATAGTGCAAGCTTTCCATTCCATTACACCTGATATGCTTAGAAACGTTTCTCGATCATTCGCCCAACGAATAAATGTATGCATTAGAGAAAATGGCAGACATTTTGAGCATCTTTTATAAAATGTAAATTTATGTTTTAGGATAAATTTCAAATAAATTTTATTATCGTAATTTTCTTCCTTTTGAATTTATTTTATAACGGCGACAGATAGGTATAGGAAAGTACATAGGGAAGTGGAAGGGTATGAAATTCTCCTTTAGTTGATGAATAGAAATACAGGGTATTACATTTGAAAAATTTTTAAAAATTTCCCTCGAAATTTTTGGAAAGTGAAATTAATTTGTGACCACCCTGTACAAAATAAAAAATTCAAACTTGGTCCAAAAAAATCTTTGGTCTATTGGCTTTATACAATCGTAGTTTTTTAAATTCTAACATCAAATTCGAGAGAGCACTGCATATTTTAATAGGCGTCTGAAAATGTAATATTTTTTGGTAATTTTTTTTTGCGAAAGGGGTGGGATGTTAGAAACAATATTTTGTACTAGTAACCATAGAGTACCTAAAATTGTAAAAAAAAGGGTCATTTCATTTAAAAAAAATTAAGTGATTTGCCTAATTTACTATTGGGCCACCCTGTACACAAGAAAATAATTTTGGGATATTTGGTATTGGCCACCATTGACAGGTGTACATCAAATAAATCGTTAAGATTTGCATAGTAGGAGTTATAGATCTACGACAGAGGTTTGGCCAACCCTGTATAATGTAGTTATTATTTATATTAATTACAATTCAAAAACAAACGCTATTAAATGCGGACTCTGTGAAATATATATAAAAACGATTTTGCTAAACCCTGTATATAACGAATTGATTTTTAGAAGTCAGAAGTAAAGCGAAAATAGCGTCCTTAGCACTTAGTCTGGCTGTACCATATTCGTATCTTATCGATGTCAGTGAACTTCTCGTATTTTTTATTTAAACTTGACACAGAAACGTGATAGAACGGTGATGGTATCTAGTCGTACATAATAATATTTACAATCACCGTCTAGTAAAATTAAAATTTAAGTTATTTGTAAGGTAAGTTTTTATCCGAATAACTACGCAAATGTATTCATTTATCCTGGTCGTAAATAAACTTGTTAATTTTTGTGCATAAACAATATCACGAATAGGAAATAATATACAATATTTCATAAAAAAAAATCTCTAATAGGGAAGACCGGGGCACGTTGTAACAAGGGGCAGATAGTAACGTTACCCGTAGCAACCAACAGAATAATACAGGACTACGATTTCGTGTATCAACTATCAACCTGAATTCTTCAGATCTTCAGTAGCTCTCGAAGTGCGGAGGTGTTAGAACGTCGCGTTTTCAACCGATACGTAAAATACGTTTATTTAATTGCCAAAGTAACTTTTTAAGGTAACGAATATTTTTTTTATCCTATTATATATTATATTTTTAAAAGAACACGTGGTCAGGATAATCATTTGGATTGTACGTTGATGTAAGATGTAACAAATTCTTTGGCGTACATTGTAAGGTGTTACAACATACACCGTGCTATAAGATGCAGTTGTTTTTATTTGCAGTATGAGGAACTACAAGAAAAAAGTGAGAGGGGCAGACACCCAAAGAGGTGATGGAGAATGTCGTAAATAGAGTTTTACATAATAATGAATCGGTAAGATGCTGATATTTGTCATGTAACTCTCTCCAGATATGTTAGGTGATTTCGGTAAAACAACAGTAATGGCAACGATATAAGTTTAAAAGCACATGGCTACAGTAAAAACAAACGTGTATTCAACAAGGTTCAGCACGAGGAGCTAGTAAAGTACATAAAACACTGTTCTTAAACTTATTTTGGTTTGTTTCTTAGAGATGTTAAAAAGCTGGCCTATGAATGTGAAACTGCTTTCAATATTACAGTCCCTAAGTCGTGGAAAAGAAACCAAGCTGCTGGGGAAGACTGGCTAACAAGTTTTCTAAAAATAATCCAAATCTTTTTATTTGTGTTCCTGATGCAACTAGTATTGGAAGGTCTTCAATAAATTCAACGTTATTTTTTTGACAAGTTAGCTGATGTGCGCGACAGATTTAATTTTACGCTATCCAATATATGGAATTTAGATGAGACTAGCTTGTCGACTGTACAAATAATAAGAAAAGTTATAGCGGAAAAAGGAACCAAACAAGTTAAAGGCATAACTTCTACAGAGCGAGGAATCTTAGTAGCAATGTGCATTGCAGTAAGTGCTATAGGAAATCATGTTCCTCAGATGTTTTTGTTCCCCCGGAAGCTCTTCCAAGATCATTTCATCTGAGATAGTCCTCCAGGGTGCATTGGTGCTGGCAATGGGTCCAGTTGGATGACAGCTGAGGAGTTTTACACGCTTATGCAGCACTTTGTTTCTTATGTTCGACCCTCTAAAGGAAAACCAGTCCTACTATTATTAGACAACCACGACTTTCACACGTCTTATAAGACCGTTAAATATACCAAAGACAATGAGGTGGTATTGCTTTCATTTCCTCTCCATTGTTCCTACCGTCTGCAATCACTCGACAGGTCTGTGGATGCGAAATAATCCGGGTAAATCAATGACCATCTACGACATACCCGGATTGGCCCGAGAAGCTTTGTCTTTGGCTCTTACATCCAGAAATATTACTAAAGGCGTTCAGTGTACTGGCATATAACCTTTCAACAGAAACATATTCAGTGAAGACGATTTTTTATCGGCAAGTGTTACTGATCGGTCACCGCACCTGAATCTCTAGTAGAGAACAGGTAGATAACCAGCCATCTTTCTCTGTTAGAACTCTTCAACTAGTGCCAGTAGAACCTGAAAAGAACCTACTAGGTACTCCTCATGATGCCCTTCCAGAAACAAAAGGTAACCAGCCAACTACTTCAACAGCTGGTTATTTAAATCGACTTACTACCTCCCGAGTTTATCAAGCAACTACTTTTTTAATTCCTGATTTAGAGAATTCTACAAATTTGACCTCTGGATATGATAACAAAGTTCCTTCTACTTCACAGAGGCCTGATTTTCCTCCAAAGCTAAGTTTGTCACCATCACACTTTTCTCCTGCAGTAGTTAGATCAGTTTCCAAAGCTGCACCTAAGAAACAAACAACTAGAGGTCGGAAAAAAGGAAGGCTACGGTTCTAACTGATACACCTGAAATAAACACTTTAAAATGTGAAGCTGACACAAAACGTTCAAAAGTAGGTGAAATGCCAGTAGCAGCAAAAAATAAGTTAAAAGCCGCAAAGAGGAAAGTGCTAGTGGAACAGTAAACAAGGGCAATGTGGATTCAGTACCGTAAATGCAAGAAGTGAGCCCACGAATAATATATCTTTAAATTATACGTGTCACCACTGCAATTCTGCCAAAGACTAAATAAATGACAATCAAAACATTGAAAATCTTAAATAAGCGCTATAAGTTTTTTTTGAAAATTAGTGTATCTGTTATTTCGTTTTTAATTGATCCACAAGTTTTGTTTATTTTTCTTAAATCAGTTTTCTTTTAATTAGAAGATGAATTTTGTTTAGTTTTTCACTAATGTTTTTTATTTGATTTTTTTAATAAAGCCAGTAATATTGCTATTTTGTATGTTTTATTTCTGTAGAAATATCACAAGACATTTATATGTAACATTTTGTCTGCCGATTACTCAATGGTACAACTTACCCCGGACACTGTTACAATTTACCCCAGGAACGGGGTACATTGTAACAAATGCAAAGCTTCATAATTTCTTGAACCAACCAAAGAGTTTAAAATATATTTAAAAACAAGATATCAGCTAACTTTAACAATTGTTTACACAATAAAATATAAATAGTAAAAATTTTGAATAATAAAAATAACCTAAAAAAAAATCAAAATCCAAAAAATGTTACAACCTACCCCGGTCTCCCCTACTAGTCTAGAGGTTACATATCATCGGTACTACACATAAATAACGAATTTAAACATACCTATACTTTTCAAAAAAAAAAAAGCAAAAAAATTATACTTTTTAAAAACAATCTTCATGTACATTTTGTACAATAATTTATCGTATAGTATACAACTATACATTCATAGTTTTCTTCAACTCGTTAAAAAAAAGTTTATTCTTATTAATTATCGTATTGAATGTTTTTATACTTATCATTCCTCATTTACATTGTATGAGCTGTTATCTGTTTCCAATTAAAACCAGCATCAATGTATTTTTATTTTAATTTCATTTTACAGATTTATTAGCTAGCAGAAGTTCAACATTCCCTTAAAAAGATGGTTCTGTCTATGGAAAGATGGGTCAATAAAGTAGCAATAGTCACAGGAGCTAGTGCTGGTATAGGGGCTGCAATTGCAAAACAATTGGTAGAAGAAGGAATTGTGGTAAGTACTTTCTCACACTGACATAAATCGGTATCACGTGCCATACTAGTCATCTATGCATGCTCCTTGCCCAAATCTATTCTTCCAGTGGCGTAGAAACATTATATTGGCAAATTGAATAGGTATTTAAATGGGGTAATAGTAAATATTAATAAATAGTAATAGTTGTTGAAATAATAATCTATTTATAAGTTATTTATTTATTTAACGGATATACCATTAGTGTCACAGATAAAGCTGTGGAAACTGAAATAACCCAAAGTGAGTTTCCAACACCCGAGGTTGTATTCCGTCAAGAAGAATTACAAATTTTGTGGACAAAACAGAATTTTATTCCAATAGTTCATGAATTTGACAGTAGTAATAGCGGAATAACCGATGAGGCATTACGTGGAAAACGGGGGATAGATTTATTTTTATAACTTTTTACCGAAGATATTGCTACTACCATTATTGAAGAAACAAACAGGTATGCAATTTAGCAAAATGCGCTACAATGGACAGCTATTTACTTGAACGAATTTTTCGTGTTTATTAGTACAACTATGCTAATGACAAGAAATAAAAAACTCAATATCAAGGAATTTTGGTCCAGGGACGAGCTGCTTCATTACTCTATTTTCGGGACAAAAATGATAAGGAACAGATACCTGCACATTTAAAGATATTTGCACTTTTATGACAATGAGAACGCTTCCCCTAATAATCGCCTATATAAAGTAGACCACATTCTATCACGAATAAAGGAGAGGTTTCAAACACAATTGCACCCGTTTCAGGACCTTGTTATCGATGAAAGCGTAATACTTTTTAGAGGAAGATAAAGCTTCAAACAGTTTATAAAGAGTAAAAGATACCCTTTTGGGGTTAAGCTGTTTGTTTTATGCGACTGCGAATCTGGACTTCATAGTATATTTGGTAAAAGAAAGTGAAAAACCTTTAAAATGAAAACGTTTACTAACCTCTCAAATAACTGACGAATTACCTCTAACTGAAATTTTGCTAATGGAATTTTTGTAGGATCAGTGGTCAAAAGCATGGCATGATAATTAAGTAAACAAATATTTATAATCAATCAAAACTTGGGTATATGGGGAGCTGTTGTAACCAAGCTCATGAATCAATATCTCAACAAAGGAGACTCGCTTTTTACAGATAACTACTATTCAAAAATAAAACAAACTCTTGTGGAACTGTCCGGCCACACAGAAAGCATATGCCAAAGTTCACAGGCAAAATAAATAAAGGAGATGTTTGTTGGTATTCTAGTGATAAAATGGTAAGATTATCAGATGTCCATATGATAACGATTATCCTGCAAACGAAATTGTAGTTCTTCGAAAAGTAGACAGGATCACTAAAGAAAACATACGGAAGCCCAGATGTGTAGTGGATTATAATAACAAAATGGAAGCTGTCGACCGTACTGACATAATGATTTCTAGTATTGACAATATGCGTAAAAGCATAAAATTGTATAAAAAGTGGTATTTCCACATTATAAATATTTCTTTACTTAATTATCATGCCATGCTTTTGACCACTGATCCTACAAAAATTCCATTAGCGACATTTCAGTTAGAGGTAATTCGTCAGTTTTTTGAGAGATTAGTAAACGTTTTCATTTTAAAGGTAGTTACGCTAAATATTTTTTAATGTAAAGGTTTTCCACAAATCATCCAATAACAAGGCCTGATTTGAACCTAAATTCGGCACTATTAACAGAAAGGCACTTTCCGACATGCGTTTCGGGAACCGAAAAGAACAAAAATTCTTTAAAAAGATGTCACAAAAAAACAAGAAAAGAAAAGAAGATACTCTAGATACATGTGCAAGGAGTGCAATGTTGGACTTTGCATTGTACTCTGATTTCAAATTTACCACAGCTAGGCTTTTAAATTTTTAAAGTTAGTTTTACCTATTAGCTATTATGTTACCAGTAAGAATTATTTATTTGTTTTTTAGTGTTAATTTCTTTGAATTATTTCATTTGTTTTGTTCAATAAACATGCTTCTGCTACACATTTATCGTTATTTTATAATTTAAATATATATCCGAACAAAACCGAACCTAACATGAGCTCCTTTGGTATCTGACGGTTATATCCGTCACTCGTCTGCCGAGGACTGCAATTCCGTCGTCTGTAAGAAAAAATCGTCTAAAACAAAAACCGTACCGAAAGGGTTAAAAAAGAAAATAATAAATGCTTAAAATTGTAAGTTTCTAATTTGTTTTGTTTATTTTGAAAATTTGTAAATTAAGCTATCTTTTACTTGATTTCTCAATAAATTATAAATTATCGTAATCCACTAATTCTGCAAAACTATCACCGGAATCGTCTTTATCGTTGAAACTTAAAGTTATGACTAAAGGTTTAACGACCGTTTCAATCATACCGTCCAAGCGCCATATATTAATTTCTTCATTAATTACGTGGGAAATAGCATTCTCAATTTTAAAGTTTTATACGTTCTATACCGGTTTTTAATAAACGTTGAACGTCAGCTATTTTAAATGTATTATTTTCTCGAGCCACAAACTTATGTCCAAATTATAGTTTAATAAGATTGAATTCGCAATGATAATAATGCCGTAATAGCACGATCGCGGGCCATTGTGCCGACAACATATTGAATATATTATTGGCAGTGTTCCTTTATTAGATCCATTAATTCTACTTTAAGCATGTCCTCAGTAAACGTTATTGTTTTATCCGGAGGCTAGCTTTGCATATCCGCTTTTCTATTGGACATGGTCGGAATGCGTTCAACTCGTCGGCTGTGATATGAAGCGTTATCTAGTACAATAACTGATTTTAGTTCTACACACTATAACACTTCAGTAAACCACTTTTAAAAGCAAAATAAGAAGGAGACGTGGCGTAGAGTAACGTTAAAAATAATAATCATGCACAGTGGCAATATCAAAAAAACCTAAATTTACATCTCCACTGTTATTGATCCGATTTACATGAAACAAATATTACTAAAAAAGAGACTGACGTAGATTAAAGCTGAAGAGAAAAATAATGCACAGGAGCAATGCCAAAAAGACATAAGTGTACTATTTTAAGACGGGTTTTGCATAGCTAAATTAACCTTTTATACCAGTGTACGCCGCCAGGACACTAAGGTAAGGATACCAGTAGTTGACAGTGCTCCAAAAGTTGAGACCTCAATTTTATACTACCACAAACAAGAAAAATCTGCAAATCTAAAACAAACTATATCACTTGGCATCATTGTTATTACCTACCAGTGGCCCATTGAGTGTTGCATATGCCAGTGTTATTTTTTTATTGACATAGAGAGGTAACATTAAAAGTGAGTGCAGCAAGTGCTGTTTTGTGCAAAGTTGTTAAGTTGTTGTGTGACTTAGTAAGAAGTAAGTATTACCAAATTATATTAAAAAGTTTTGTTTTGAAAATATTCATTACTTTTAAATTATGACTGTACAAGTAATAGCAATGGTTAACAGAATATATTTGTTAAGATAGTTAGGACATATTTGTAACAAGAAAAAACCAACTTGTCGACTTTTGGATCAGAAAACAGATCTAGTTCTAGTAGTCGAGAGCCATGTCGACTTAAGGAAATTTAAATATTATTAAATGGGTTGGTAGATATGTCAAAAATTTTATGAGTGGATCCAAAGCCGTACATGGCATGTCGACTTTTGGAGAATGGCATGTCGAAGCATTGGAGCTGATTTATTTGTTTATTCTTATTTACATATGTAACGTAAAACGATTTTAAATTACCCTGAAGCAAATATGTTAGCTGCTATAGAAGATGTGAATAGAGGGATGTCATACAATGCTGCAGAAAAAAAGCGGAGTTCCAAGAATAACGCTAATATACAAGCATAAAGGGCAAGTTCCAATTTATAGAAAAATGGGACCATCAACATGAATTGATTCTTGTTAATTGGGTTAAATCTCTAGCTCTTGCTTTGACAAAGGAAACCTTAATGGAAAGTGTTTCTAAACTAGCTTTAGAATTAAGGATCATCTTTAATGGAAATACCAAACCCGGAAAAAATTGTCTTTTTTTATAACGTCACCAAGATATTACATTTTGAACTGGTCAAAATTTGACTTCTCAAAGAAGAGCTGTTACACAAGAGAATTTCAATCAATGATTTGAGGAAATTGCGAAATATTTAAAGGAAAATAAAACAGAAAATGTCATAAAAAAATCCAAATTGTGTGTTTAATTGCGATGAAACAGCATTCTTTTTAAATCCAAAACCGGTCAAAGTTCTGGCTCCCAAAGGATGTAAAACTGTTTATAATGCTGCTGGTAATGATAAAAAATTCATTATAACAACTTTAATTACAGCCAATGTAAATGGAAAACTTGCACCTCCACTAGTAGTCCACAGGTACACCAGGATACTACAAGGTATAACTGAAAACTTTCCTTCTGACTGGGCAATAGGAAAGTCTAAAAAAAGGTGGATGACTCAAGAGCTCTTCTTTGAATACTTTGCTAATATTTTCGTATCCTGGCTTGAAAAGACCAGTTGTGATGTTCTCAGATGGACATGTTTCCCACCTATCCTTACAACTTATTCAATTTTGTATTGACAAAAATATTGAATTAATAGCATTATATCCAATTGCTACACATTATGCAGCCTATGGATTTATCTGTATTTCATGTCTTAAAAACTATTTGGAGACCAATATTTACAGATTGGAAAATTTAACATAATGGAGAGCCTCCTAATAAGTACAATTTTGCAACAGTATTAAAAGAGATTCTTCCGCATATTAAATATTTAACAATAAAAAACGGATTTAGAAAATGTGGCTTGGTTTTTTGGGGATCCAAAGGCAGTTAAGGTTAATGGAGAGCCAAGTGCGGAAACTTAAACTTTAAATATGAGAAAAACTGCAGGGGACAAACTATGTTTAACAACATTAGAACGTGAAACCGGCAATGATAAAATAACATATTTTTTGGACAGTCAAAATGAATGGAAATGGCCTACTGAAGACACATCTTTATTTATTTTATGGAAATTGTGGCATGACCAGCAACTTCTAAATACTGAAGAAAAGGTAACGTTACTTTTATATACACATGAACTACTTAAACTAAATATAATTTTTTCAGCAATCTAATCAAGAACTGGCATCCATACAAGAACCAGAGTTCTTAGATGAAGTGTCTCAAGACACAAACATTTCTCCTGCTGGACCAATAATTATAGAAGCATCAACTCCAGAATAACGAGTAGCGCCAGATACTCCGGTAAACAATGTGACAATTACTAATGCTTCTTCTTGTTCTACTAGCACTGAACTGCACCATCTCAAAACTCCCCCTTTAGTGAAGGGATTTACAGATCATAAAGAAAATATTCTTTCTCCTTTTAAAAGAGTTTTGTTTTAAAAGGAAGACGGCCCAATTGAAGTTAAGAAAAAAAGAAAAGAAAAATTACCAGCCAATGCTACTTCTCTACAAATGTTGGAATATTTTAATAAAAAGTTGAATACCAAAAAGGAGATGGAAAGACAAAAGGAAGAACGGAAATTAGCTAGAGAAGAGAAAAAAGGAATATGGCTACAACTACAAAGAAAAGATGTCTCTCGTCTTGTTCAAGTTCTGCAAGTAATTCTTCTACTTGGTTTTCTCTTCAAGAATCTGATATGTCAGAAACATTAGAAAGTGAAGATGAAGAGGACGTATTAATTGCCAATAACATGAGTTATAGTGAATTAAAAGAAGGCGATTATATTCTTACCCAATTTAAAGGTGGCAAACGAAATTCGTCGGGGTTTAAACTTGTGTGTGTTGTTCAAACATTAATTTCATCTGAAAATATTGTTGTTATGGGTTGCTATCAATTGATAACACTCACAAAGAATTTATAGCAGTTGAAAATGACATCAGAGAAATAAACTTTGTCAAGTGTTAAAAAAATTGGTGCAGCCTGAATTAGTGTTGAAGGGCTATAGGTTTAAGGAATCTATTGGTGTATTTTCTTAATTAATGAATAAATTAATTAATCCGAAATTTTTTGTTTTATTAACCTCACTAAGTAGGATGTCAACTACCGGAGCAAATCATGTCAACTACTAGAACTAGCTAATCTGCACCTGTCAGCCTTTGGAGCAAAGGCATGAAGTCAAAAAACAAATTACCAAAAAGAAAATGAAAACAATATCATTTTAATGTGAATGTTTACCTAGACCACACTAAAGGTGTTCTATCTGAATTTGATAACAAAATATAGAGGCAAATTTATGAAATTAATTGTAAATTTACCATTATATTTTTCTTAAGGTCTCGACTACTGGTATCTTTACCTTATATCTAACCTCTTAATTAAAATGGATTTCCTACACCGTTTGACAAAATAAAAGTTCAGGCCCTATAAAATGTTTCGTAAAGTTTCATAACTCATTGAAGGAATATCTTTTTTGTTGTTTCAGCTTTAAGAGTTGGTGCTTTATTTTAAAAAAAAAATGTATTATTTGTTTTTCGTTATAACTCAACATCGGCTGTTTTTTACCACGGGTATGCGTTTTAGGAGCTTGTAAAGAGCCTGTATTTGTAATTTAGCATACAATGCGTTCAGCTGTCATACACTTTCCATATAATGTTCTTTGTATCTTTTGATATGGGCTTTCGCCTTTTTAATTGGGATTCCACTTGTTTATTAATTATCTCCGAAATCATAAAATATGTTTTAAATTCCAGGTAGTTGGAGCTGCTAGAAGAGTTGAACTGATAGAAGAATTAGCTAAGACTTTAGGTGATAAAAAAGGTAAACTGCATGGTTACAAAGTTGATCTCTCCAAAGAGCAAGAAATTAGAGAACTTTTTAAATGGACTACTGAAAATTTAGGGCCCGTACATATTCTTATTAACAATGCAGGTAATGTTTTAACTTTTAAATTTAATACCTTATAAAATCTGATTTAATTTATCATCATTTAAAAAAATCTATTTTTCCCACATTTTATTTTATTTATTAAATGTTCTATTATTGAAATTCTGAAGACCCAACTATTTTATTAATTATTAAGTTAGTTATGTTATTACACATTTATATTATTTCAATGTCTTTCATTTTATTTCAGCTATACATGTCAGGAATGACTTCATCGATGAAGATATAGATGCCTGGAAATTAACTTTGGATGTAAATGTACTAGGATTATCCATAGCTACAACCTTAGCAATAAAAATTATGAAAGAACAGAAAATTGACGGTCACATTATTCATATTAACAGTATTACTGGGCATTATGTACCTCAGTTATCCTTTCATAATATGTACCCTGCATCTAAACATGCTGTAACAGCTTTAACTGAAACATTTAGACAGGATATAAACAAATTAAATTTGAAAATCAAAGTGACGGTAAGTAATCTTAAACAAATAAAGAAAATTTAAATAAAATGAGTTTTGGATGTAATATATCAGGATCCTCTGAACAGATATAATTATAAAATGATAAATTACCTAGTTGTTTTGATCCAAAAATATAAATAGAAATTCCTGGAACTTATGATTACCTAAAGGTACCTATCGCATCAACTTCCAAAATAAGAATTGCCTTAATAATTGTCAACCTACGTATTGAGAGGGCTTTTTAAGAAAAATAAGAAGCAAGACAAAAATACGTATTTATCTCATTCAATTTTGAAACAATAAAATTTCTCAATATTTACATGCGATATTTAATTTATTTTTTAAGAGTATTAGTCCAGGAGCAGTAGATACTCCCATTTTTGATGAAAAAATCCGTCAAAATCCAGATTTTCAAAACCTAATAGGCCAAAGAATGTTAAAGCCTGAAGACATAGCTGATGGAGTGGTTTATGTGTTATCTACACCGCCTCATGTACAGGTATATTTTATTATATGTATTTTTAGTAAAATTACGTAGGATCTTCGCTAACGTTATCTTCAATATTAAAATAACGTTACCGTGTACTGTAACGACTAGTGCGTAATAGAGTTTTAGCAACGTTTAAATTTGTTTGCATTGACGGTTTTTCTGGTTATCTAATTTTAAATATTTATTGTAATTTTCGGAATTCCTGGCCAATAAAGTCTAATTATTAAATAAATTATTCTTGGAGGTGGTACTGATAAATACTTAGGCTACCGTAAAAAATTCCACAATATTTCAAAAATTAATTTTATTTAACATAACCTCATTTAGGAGACATCATAAAGTTCATATAATAATTGTGAGGTAACAAACATTTTTCTACGATCACTATCCAAAGTAGGCTTTTGCAAATTCAATTCTAACTGGAAAGTTGACGTTTACCATAAATGTCATAGTTTGAAATTATTGCCGCATATAGGCGGAAAGTTACTTTTCGAACACGCCTATTTTCATTAGAAAATTTTATTAGAAAGTTTGTTATTATAAAGCTAATCGGTATTTTAAAAGAAAGTGTAGACTACTCTGAATCTTTTAGTTAAACATTTAATACACAAACTCATTTTCCTTAATATTTAAATGATAATTAAAATATTAAAAATAAATTAACCTGTTTTTAACACTCATATTTAACATGTCTTTAAACCTGATAAACGTGAGTTCAATCAATTATTATTTTTTTTTTTTATTTTTTTGTTCGTAAAATTAAATAAAATTTAAAACCGTGTATGAGCCATTAATTTGCGATTCGAGTATTTTAACCGATAATCTTGTAAGTTATTTTAAGATGTAGGTACTTACTAACAAATATTTTTTATGCATATCATAAAATTAATCCTAGAGTAAGCAGGCAACACAATATATATAACGTTTGCTAGTCAAGTTAGCCATGTCTGTCAAATTAACGTAGTAAGATTTGAATTCGGCAAAATAAAACTATATACTTTTAATATCGAGCTATTTTTTCTACGCTTATGTTAGTAAACGTTAAAAATCGCACTATCAACTTCCTTGTAAATTACATTTTTCTACGCCCATGTCAGTAAATGTTAAAAATCGCACTATCAACATTCCTTGTAAATGACATTTAACAATAAAATGCACGTAAAGAGATCTCATAACATACACGTGCGTTTTGATAAGAAAACTTAAATTTCTTTGTTTAATCAAATTTTTGTCTACGTATTACTTTATTTTGTCTATTTACATGAATTTATTCATTTAAAAAACATAAAAACTTATAGCCTTAGCGAGATATATTTTGGATTAAAAGAGTAAATGTCGGCAACATATTATACATTTTTTCAAAGAATATGTCGCGTGTTCTTAGTATGCTATGGAAATAAACGTCGTGCCATTTATATTGTCAATTTTTGTAACAAAATATGATTGTATCCGAACATTTTCTCAACTTTACCTACGAATATGTTTGTTAGCAGTGAAAGTGATGAAATTATGGTCACTCCCCTGGAGATTTTAGAAAAAGCTCAAGCTGCCACACATAATTTGTTACCGCTAAAATCCAAAGAAAGGTACGAAATTACTTATCGAAAATTTATGAATTGACGACACAAGCATAACGTTAAATCCTTTTTTTAGAATGTTTTAAGCGAGCGTAGAAAAAGTATAGTACGTTACACGAATTGTAAGCCCATTATGCACTCATGAAATTTACGTGCGTAATGGTCACTTACAACTCTTGTTACGTAATATACTATTATCTTAAGCGGCAAAGTAGCACTTTCCATTATTAATACACAAATATAACATAATTTGACATTATTAGCGCTATATTAAAGTTATTTTGGTGCTTAGGTACTTTTATTTGCAGTAAATAAAAGAAAGGTAGTCGAACAAAATGTAAACTAATCTGAATATTTTAGTTGACCAGCTAATATTCAAATCAATTTTCCTTAAGGTGATTACAGCACCCCCTTATAATTTTCGGACAAGGATATCTCAAAAAGTAATGTTTTTAGAAAACTTAAATTTGGGAAAAATAAATAAAGCAATAATATCTAGAATATGCATATTTTTTAAAGTTTTAATTCTTTCCAGTTTCCGAGAAAAAAAATTAAAGGGCTTTAAATTTTAAAATATCATAATGAAAATAAATGCATTCCTCAACAGCACTATTCTTAATACAATCCCCAAATTTAAGCTCTTAATCTCTTGTTAATGATTTTTTAAAATTCGCCGAAATTAGTGGCTAAAACGCCTCGTTAATTGCTATTTTCTGGTTTAAACTGGTGTAAACTGGTGTAAATCGTTGCAAGAAACGAATGATGACTCATAGTGTACGAAACGATAGTTACAGATGCGTTACACTAGAAAGAAGCACTTAACGAGGCGTTTTAGCCACTATTTTCGGCGAATTTTAAAAAATCATTATCAAGAGATTAAGAGCCTAAATTTGGAGATTATATTAAGAATAGTGCTGTTGAGGAATGCATTTATTTTCATTATGATACTTCAAAATTTAAAGCCCTTTAATTTTTTTTCTCGGAAACTGGAAGGAATTAAAATTTTAAAATATATGCATATTTTAGATATTATTGCCTTGTATATTTAGCCAAAATTTTAATTTTTTAAAAAAATTACTTTTTGAGATATCCTTGTCTCAAAATTATAAGGGGGTGCTGTAATCACCTTAATATTTAAACGATGACAATTGAAATATTAAAAATAGATTATTCCGCTTTCAATCTGAACGTAATTACGCGACACAACATACACATCACACACGCTTCGCTAGCGTTGTCTGTCAAATAAACATTATAGTAAAATTTTAATTTGGTAATTTCGTAGCACTTTCCGCTCTTAATACACAAAAAGCTGTGGTTTTGGTCTGGAAACCACTTTTCAACGTCACAAATGACTTCATCATTTGTCGAAAGTTTTGGATGCAATTAATAAAATGTGTAGGGTAAAGGCACCAGTAATTGACACTACACCAGTAATTGACACTTCCTATTTATAATGCCTAAAATAAGGATATTTAAGTAAAATCTTTACCAAACTTGTAATTTATATGTACAATAATCTTTCTTCTAACCACATATGTCTAGAAATAATACTAAAGGATGGCGCCACTATAGGCGAGAATAGCTCAGATAAACAAATGAAATATAGATGTGTTACGGACGCAGTTTAACATAGGCTTTGTTTGAAGCCAGTATCTACGAACTTTTGACAGCCGTGGTCTTTATGGGCGTATCAAATAGTTTTTTCATCAGAATTCAAAGCATTCTTTTGTAAATATTTTGTCAATAACAAATTTAAAGAACAATGCAACTCATGCATAAAATTTCATTTTACAAAAATTAAATTCTATTTTTCATTCAAATGTAATAAACCATATTTATAATTCAAATAATTACACTGTTAATATTGTTTATAAGTAGATATCAGTAAACTGTATATTTAAAATGGAACAACAATCCCTATTGACAAAAGTAAGCCAAACTGAATTTACCCATTAGGTCACAGGAGTAATGGTGAGATTGTGGTGCACAAAGTGCCTTTGCAGGTCCGTTTTAATCATTTTATGTACCTATTTTATAACCAGGAGAAATTAATATTTCTGAACCAATAAAAAAAATCCAATTTACTTTTCCCTTATATACCTAAAGGTGGCATTCTTACCACTTGAAGTGATAAATTTAATTTTTTTTAGAATATACGAGGGATGTCAAAAAATAGGAATTAAGGCACTTATTTTTAAAAATATAAAAAAATTGATATGTAATAGATTTTATCATTTCTTAAGAATTAACAAACGTATTATATGCTTTGTAAGTAGTTTATAATGGATAGACACAAATCTATGAATTTGTTAAAACTTACCTTTATAGTCTTAATCTTGTTCCAAGAAAGATCTAATGGAGACTGTTAAGCCTAATAGAAACAATAAATCTCTTTTCACAAACATATAAACTAGGAGCATAAAAAGGTTGAAGTGATGAGGCCTTTAAACCTTTACTAGCGGCATTAATTTAATTCAGATAATATATTTATATTTAAATAAAATGTTAAGATAAATTAAGTGTAGCTTCATTAGTAAAATAGTAACATTTCAATTTTCCATAAAAACGTCCCCAACTCTAGCAACATTTTCAGTGATTTGTTATCGACTCAGGTTTTATTTTTGTTCTTATGAACTAAAATATTTCTTTATCATAAATAACAATTTTATAGATGAGAAATACATTTTTCATAAATTTTTAATGACATTTATAGAAATAAAATAGATATTTGTGTACCAAAGGCTGTAAGTATCGAGTTGATCTTTTACGGCCGAATCAGAAATTTACGGCCGAGGCCAAGTAACTTCTGGTAAGTAATATTACAATCATTTAACAACTTATCTAAGAAGAGAAATTACGTATCATGAATTCGTTTTTCACGAGAACAAATATTAGTAATTCCAGATATTTGACGCCAGTATCTAGCTAGTTTATTCCTACATAGTATGTATAATGTCTGAAAAACCTCCTTTATACATCTAATAAATCACATAAATTAAATTTTGTCCATGTACAACTTGTGTGGTAAAAATGTTTTATATACAAGCTTCATCCAAAAATGTATTAACATAAAATTAACGCAAATTGAAAAACAATACAAGAATTAAATATAAAATTAATAAAAAAATTCAATATAAAAGTATCAAAAGTGGTAATTATAAATAAAAAAAGGATAAAATTGGTTAGTAGAGTGTCTATTTTCAAAGAAATATAATAGAAATCTCATAGGAACCGAAGTTGTGCATGGGCTACATATTATATTTAAATGTATGTCACCAAATTGAATTATTTTAATACTAGATACATAGGTACTTTAACTGCTTTTGATGCATTTTCACTATAAGAGGAAAATTTACATTACAAACTGAAAGACCTGCGGGGCAACGGTAGTTTAGTAGGTATAAAAATTACAACTTTAGGGTGGAGCCT